GCGAATGCAAGGGTAGCGAGTATCATGGGTGAGGAGGCCGCCGTCGTCTGGGGCTCCTTGCCTTCCTGGTTTGCCGCCTGCAGGACAATAAAACAGGCACAGGCCAATCCATGCAGAGCCCCTGGTAGATCAGGTGAGCTGCTGGCGGGAAGTCCAAAGTGTACCTTCAACAACCGCAATGGCGTAGTGATCTGCAGTGGGAGCAGTTGCACGGCAGTCCATTCCGGCTGCCCTTCTGTATTGATCTTGATTTCAGCAACTTGGGCGCGGGCGGTGGGACCCTTTACACCATGCAGGTTTCGCCTATCGCCTTTTTCGAGGTGGAAGATGACGCTGTAGATGAGCTGGCGAAGACCTTGTGCGCAGAAGTCAGCTCGTTCGGCTAGTCGCATATCCTGGATGCCAAAACCACACAAATGAGGGAAGCTGTAGACAGCATTAAAAAGTCTAAATGTCGGTTGGGTTCTAAAGTATTCTCTCAGGGCTTTGGGCCACTTTTCGGTCAGGTCGGGGATCACAGTTTCCCCCTGTCCCCCCAACAGAATTTGTCGTGCTCTTTTGGCATATTCCGCTGCTGTTGAATTTGCACTGTTTTTGCTGCTTGGAGTCGCCGACGCATCCGTCAAGAATTTTGAAGCAGCAAATCCAGTAAACTTCCCATAGCGTTCGAGATCACGTTTGCAATCTATGCAGTAGAGACTGAGTGCCGTGAAAAACGTTTCCTCAGCCTCTGCCCTCTTGGCTGGTGGCACCCTCGACAAAACATAATTGATCGGTTCCTGTAGACTTGAGCCGAAGCTGGATAGCCAGGAAATCAGATTCTCCATTTTCTGCAGGATGTCGAAGCAGCCATCCGCGTTCACAGCGTCTGTGACTGTACTCGGCAGATAGGGATCAAAGTAGCGCAAGGGGACATAGTCATTGCCCCAGAGGACAGCAAACACTGGCCTGAGGGGTGCGGCTAGTCTTGAAAAGGCACCCTGTTCGGGCGCAAAACTTGTTGCCTCAAGGTAGTAACAATAGTTTTTGTTTCGTTTCTGGCTCTGTTTATAAAGCTGTCGCGATATTTCCTTTTGGGCGCAGTCAGCACATAGATTATCTTCAAAGAGCTTAGGTTGAACGTTAAATGGCAGAGGCTGAATTGCACAGTAGCCACAGGTCTCGCCCCAGTAATTGCTGAATATGAAGAAGTCGGAATCCCTGCTCATGACCGGACAGCCCAACTTGATGGCCAGTCCCGCAATCAGCCTTTCCACCTCGAAGTCCGTGAAGAAGTATGCAATATTTAGTCGGCGAAGCACAGTTACGAGTGTGCTAATCACCAGGGGGCAACACAAGTTGGGAATTTCAGATTTTTCGACAGGCAGGTGGTCTGCGGCCGCGGATTCCTGAAAAGCCGTCAGCATCCAGTGCGTTTTGCGCAACCGACGGATGCAGGCATCAAACCTTTCAGGCTAGAAAAGGCAACACATTAAAAGTCTGTGAATAGACTGAGAAGAAAGCGATTCAACGAAACACGTCCAGAGACGTGACACCTACTATAACATTTACGTTTGCTAC